ACACGTGCACACATAATCACAGTTGTTATATAAGTAGTCACGCATTAGTCACGGGGAAGTGCACAGGATGAACAATGAGTGGCAGCCATGTTAACGCTGGCGTTCAGCGAACTCCCTCTCACAAGAGTTGCAAGCGCTCTGCCGTCCCCACAGCGAAGCCAAAAGAAACAGAAGGAATTGCGAAAGACCGAAACAAGTTCTTCCTCGACGCAGCGGGCGCCCCCGCCGCCCGCGCCGCCGCCGCCGCCCTCTGACGGCGCCGAGGGACAGGGCGGTCAGCGGGCGTCGCGGACACGGACGCCGCGCTCTGAAGGGGCTTCCCCTCCGCGGAGTGGGCTCCCCGCGGCGTGACCTCGGAGAGAGAGGCGAGGAAAAAGGGGAAGGAAAAAGGGAAGGGAAGAAGAAATGGAAAAGACAGACGAGTCGCAGAAGAGCCAAGGAAGTGCTCGAATCGAGGTCGCTTGCATGAGGACGCAAATCGAGGTCGCAGCAAGCAGTCGATTTCAGGAAGTCGTCTTTCATGGCGACCAAAGCGGCGCGAGTCTCATCGTCTCGCAGTGACAGCAAGAAGTCTGATGCAGCGCGAATGAATGATGAGGAAAATGACGATGAGATGGACAACGTAAAGAAGAGATACAATCTTGTAATATTGCAAAGCACAAGAAAATAACTAAAGACCCTCAAAATAATAAGAAAAAAGTAATATGAAATAATGTTTGGTAGATTTTTAATTTCCTTAATTTCTTATCGTTGATTTCGGTAAAAAAAAAAAAAAAAAAAAAAAATCACGGTTACTTAATATATTCCTTTGTTTTTGATTTTTGATTGTTCTAACAAAACCGTTGCAAATATATATAAAATATAGGCACAAACAAGCTGCCCTTAGAAGGCCCTTGAAGACTGACCTCTGAGGCAAAGCAGAAGGAAGAGGCAAAGCAGAAGGAGGAGGCAGAGCAGGAAGGCAGGGGAGGCAGAGCAGAGGAGGAGGCAGAGCAGTAGGAGCAGAACAGGAGGAGGAGGCAAAGCAGGAGCAGAGCAGGAGGCAGAGGAGGAGCAAGCAGGAGGAGAGGCAGCAGAAGGAGGAGGCAGAGCAGAAGGAGGAGAGCAAGAGAGGCAGAGCAGGAGGAGGCAGAGCAGGAGGAGGAGGCAGAGCAGGAGGAGGAGGCAGAGCAGGAGGAGGAGGCAGGAGCAGCAGAGCAGGAGGAGAGCAGAGCAGCAGACAGAGCAGGAGAGAGGCAGGCAGAGCAGGAGCAGCAGCAGCAGAGCATGGAGGAGGGAGGGAGGCAGAGCAGGAGGAGGAGGCAGAGCAGGAGGAGGAGGCAGAGCAGGAGGAGGAGGCAGAGCAGGAGGAGGAGGCAGAGCTCGACCACTCACGAGTAGACGCAGTGCGCGGCGGTGATGACCCAGCGCTTGTTGAGCAGCGCGCCCCCGCAGGAGATCCTCTTGCTCAGGAACGACTCCTTGATGATGGCCGCCTGCCACGGGTGTGATCCGAAGCTGGAGTCGCCGCCGCCCACGATCCTGTTCGTGCGGGCGTAGGTCTCTCCACACTCTGCGGGAGGGAGAGGTGTTAGGCGTGGCATTGTGGGCGGAGGTGGCATAAGGAGACAGGGATAAAGTGTCTTTGCGTGTGTTGCCTTGCAGTCGACGTCCTGGCGAGAAGTGCCAGGGTCGGCGGCCGTTCGCGCGACAAGGAAAAGCGCCGGTTACTCTGAGGCAAATGATGAGCAAAGTTGGGTAACAATGGAAATATAATAACTGCTGGAAAAAATAACAATTTCATCAAAAGAAATAAAGAATTAGAAATTTTAAGGATAATGACAATAACAAAAACAAACAAATAATCTGATAATAGCTAGAGAGTACTAAGAGAGCGGAAACTTCAGCCAACGCCTCAAATTCTGGCTTCCAAATGCACGCTTCAACATTCTACGAGAAAATAAATTCCTTGCGGACCTCATTGCCTATGGCAGATCGCGCCTGCGCCGCCTCTTTAATTTCATATAATGTCCTTGTTCGGCGGAAGTAATAACGACATCAGTATTGATAACAGAACAGCATAAATGATAGGAATACTGCTACGGATACTAATTAAGGATAGCAGTATAGCAAAAGTCAGCTTTAATGATGAACAAATATGCTCTCCTTAGCAATTTCGTTACCCCCCCCCCCCCTCGCACCCCGGTCTCCGACAACAATAATTCTAATCACCGAAATCCTTACGAAATCGCCCGTTCCCCTCACGCGCCTTCCCGACTGTCACGGACGTATCACTACCGGCGTGACGTCACGTGCGACCAGTCGACCGTCACGCAGCGCAGCGACCGCAACAGAAAGAGAGGGAATGAGTGAGAGAGAAAAAATCACGAAATGAAGTCCAACTGCAGCACAGCGTCCCTGGGGCCTCGCGTTCCAGGCATTAAAGCTGTTTACTTTGCAAACTCTTGTAATGAACACGCACGTGCGCGCAGAAACCGGGTTGTCAGCATGACTGTGCTTCCGTAAGTGGCAATTAAAAAACGCATAAGTCACCTTTTTTTACGGGCTGGAATTTCAGAAGAGAATGATAATAATAATAAAAAGATGCTGAAACAACAGACGAAACTGCTTACAGAGATTTACATTCAATTTTAGAGGAAAATGGAAGCTCAAAACCATTTACTCTTAGGTTTCACAATGACTGACTTGGAAGGAGCGAACCATGTCGAGTCGCTCACCTATTCATTACCAATCAGGGTTATCCTTACTCTACATTTCCTTCAGGAACAAAACTCGTACCTAAAGCGACGCTGACCTAATTAAAAATCGAGAGCACCAAGACTAGAGAACAAAGAACTTCCTCCCAGAAACAAAAAGCCCAAAAAACCCAAAACATTAGAATCTATCACTTGAAAAAAAAAAAACATTCGAAAACGCGTATCATCGCCCCCCCCCCCCAAGAGGAGCGCCGACCATCTTATTCCAGCCCGCGGGGCCGTTCTAACAATGCTCCGGCCAGGGAAAGTAAAACACGGACCATCCGGGCTTGGAAAACAGTTAAAAATGAAAGCTGTGATGAAAAGCCGACGGGGAGAGATGGAGGGAGAGAGAGAGACACTCCCCGCTCACAAAGAACAATGGAAAGTTGAGGGTTAGTCACCAAGTGGGGGTCACCGCTGCGGGTACAAGGACGGGTGCTGCGATGGGGGGGGGGGGATGAGAGACGCACAGATAGAGAAATAGGTACTAACTGATATAGATAGACAGGCAGAGGACAAGGACAGAGAGAAGAGAGAGAGAGAGAGAGAGAGAGAGAGAGAGAGAGAGAGAGAGAGAGAGAGAGAGAGAGAGAGAGAGAGAGAGAGAGAGAGAGAGAGAGAGAAGAGAGACTAAAGGAGAAAGCAGGGAGAAGGGGAAGGCATGTTAAACAGGAGAGATAGATAGATAGATAGAAAGAGCTAAAGGAGAGAGAAGGGAGAAGGGGGAGGCATGTTAAACATGAGAAAGAGAGAGAAAGATAGAGATAGATAGATAGATAGAGAGATAGAGAGAGAAAAGAAAAAGAAAAAAGAAAGAAAATATATATATGCATAGAGAGAGAGTAAGACGTAGAGGGGGGAGGGGGCACAGCCAGGAGGGGAAAGCTTACAAGAAATCTCGAATGTGGAAGAACAGACAGGAAGGACGTGAACGCACATCCACGAAGGTCGAGGAAAGTAAAAAAAAAAAAAAAAAAAAAAAAAAAAAAAAAAAAAAAAAAGAGAGAGAGAAAAAATAAGACGGCTTATGAGTCGCTGCGCCTCCCTCAACACCACCAGCCTCTCATCCTCCCCAGTGCAAAAAGCCTCACGCAAGCAATAACGCAGCAAAAGAGCCCAAACCGCCAGACAACAAAAGAGCCCAACAAGACAACGGTTCCCCACCCACGACCCCACACTCCTCTCCAACCGGTGTTTTCTCGGCGCCCAAAAACCCTTCGCGAAGCAGCGGGGAAACCAAGGGCGAACGATGGCCCTGACCTTGCTTGGCTGTCTCTCCCGTGCCTCACCTCTTGCGCCAGGCGGATCTAGTTAAGTGTTATGTAAGGAGGATAAGGAGAAAAAGAGGCCAACGGAACGCGACCTGGATATATGACAGGTAAATACATGCTGGATGAGGCGTGTGTCGAAGGCTCGTGCTTGTCGGATTTTCAGTGAGTTAGAGGAGGCTGAACTCACGAATGTATAGCCTGGCACGCGGGAAAACAGATGAGGGAAAAGAGAAAATATTTAACAGATAAATAAATAGATGGAGAGAGGGGATAGAGAGAGGGGATAGATAGATAGATAGAGAGAAAGAAGAGAGAGAGAGAGAGAGAGAGAGAGAGAGAGAGAGAGAGAGAGAGAGAGAGAGAGAGAGAGAAGAGAGAGAGAGAGAAGAGGAGAGAGAGAGAGGAGAGAGAGAGAAGCCAGAGGGGAGAGAGATAGAAGAGAAAGAAAGAGAGAAAGAGAGAGGAGAGAGGAGGAGAGGAGAGAGAGAGGAGAGAAAGGAGAAGGAGAAAGGAAAGGAGAGAAAAAAGAGAGAGAGAAGAGAGAGAGAGAGAGAGAGAGAGAGAGAGAGAGAGAGAGAGAGAGAGAGAGAGAGAGAGAGAGAGAGAGAGAGAGAGAGAGAGAGAGAGAGAGAAAGAGGAATGCGGCAGATAGATAGATAAAGAGAAAGAGACGCACACAGAGAGAAGAAAATGTATGTTCAACACAGATCGCAGCACTCTAGCAGGCGAAAAGCCTATCGATCAACACAACGTCCAACCAACGGACTGAAAAGAAAAGAAAAGAAAAGAAAAGAAAAGAAAAGAAAAGAAAAGAAAAGAAAAGAAAAAACGAAAATCAACCAAAAGGCAAACTTGGTCTAAAAAGCACATACTGCAAACAAATAAATGAACACCAGAAATTGTGCATCATCACACAACGCCATTTGCGGTAATTAAAAAGGTGCCGTTACATGTCCCTGCGCCCCTGAGTGCCGCGAGAGAATGGAGGGTCGAGCCGGGATGACCATCCTCTCAGCCGACGGAGTTCCGGAGGGCGTGTCGTGTTATCCCGACGGGCGCGGGTCGTGGGAAAGCCTCAACGCCAGCGACAGCGAGTGGAAGCCTCAACGCCAGCGACAGCGAGTGGAAGCCTCAACGCCAGCGACAGCGAGTGGAAGCCTCGGTCGATTTAAAAACGAGGAGAGAACGCGACGCTCGATGATGGCGCTGCTCTCGAGTCCGCATAAAGGCGCCGGCAGCGACTGTCCGGGAGTAGCAAGGTCTCGCCGGCCTCGTGTGACAAGTCCTAACGAAGAGAGAAACAATATCGGTGGAATGTAACACGAGGTCGTCTGACGCGCTGGTGGATCGTTGCGTCATATCGGGAGGAAACGACCCTCGACATAGCATGCAAATTAGATGTCATGAGAATAATTACAGGTATATTGCCCGTGTACAGATGTATGCATGTAGGGTTGCATCACATGTGGTTGTAATAGGGGATAATATACATTGTTAATACATCTATTGTATGTATATTATGCTACATGATTTTACATGACAGTCTATTAATACGCAAATGAGTGGCTTTCATGCGACTGAAATCTCTATTTAGATAACGATGTTTATGGTCACAATAATAAAAATATCATCAATAACCATAATAACACTAATAATAATGACGATAAACGCGTATGCATTAACAATAACAATAACGATACTACTGATGGCGGTGTTAAAAAAGCCAAAGCCAATACCGGCGGCAGCGACTGACACAAGCCACCCTCTCCCCCGAGATAAACGCCGCCCACAGGCGCCCCGCACAACGGGACACCGGGGGCGTGACAAAGAGCCTCGCCCAGCGCGCCCTGCCATTCTCTCGCGTCTGTTCGGGAAAGGCGAGTCACCATTAAGCGAAATCAGGTCGGCTGAAAGGATGCACCGGATAAAATAAAATAAAATCGATGTACGTTGAACTCGCGGGCGTGGGCGTGATAATTAAACCGCCAGCGTGCGAACTGGAACAGGGAGTGGGCGGACAAAGGAAAGTACTCTCGCCGGCATACCTTTCTTCGTCCCGGGAAATGACAGGAAGGAAAGATAAGGTAACCCCACCCACGAGGCACGGCGCCAACGAAAGGTAAATACAAATGAACAAAATCTAAGTTAGAAAGGTAAACAAGGCACTGAGCCAGGCCAAGGTACCGCTTCCTTTCACAACCGAGGCGGAGGCGGTGAAGCTCTTCCACCTTCTGGCCTTCGGCAGCGCCTTCGGGAGGGAAGCGGGCAAGGCCAAGCCCCGCTCCTTGCCTCCTCGGCCACGGCGGGCTCGATCAAGGAGTCGCGGCTCAACGGAGCAACCGCTCAGCTGTTCAGGGACACGACAAGGTATGTGGGCGCCGCAGGACAGAACACGTATTATGAATTTATGTCATTTAAGTGTTTACGTATATACATTTACACATATTAATGCACAACTTGCGTGTATATGTGCTTCTAGCCACAAACGATCTAGCGAGATATATATGTGCGTGTGTACTTAACACCACACTCAGCGTATACAATGGCAGATTTATTACGAACTCTGAAGGTGTAGTTTAGCGCGCACGTCCTTGCAGACAAACATAGGAATCGCGGATATCCTCACTGTTCAAGGAGACGAGATTTTCATGCAGTGCCACCGCGGTGCCACACCCCTTGCACCTCTCCGCCCGCCCGCCTGCCTCCGCACTGTCACTCATCCTCCATTATCTCTTCTTTGCCTCTTTTGTCCTTGGGGGGGGGGGGGGGGCTATTCCCCTCGTCGCAACGCGCACGCACCGCTTTGCAACCCGAAACCCAAACCATTTTAGACCGTAAATCTCGGAGGCCGTTGTCGCGACTGCCTCGGAGCGGCGCTGCGTCGATAAGGGCGTAATTCCCTGCTTCCTCTTCCGCGCGAGAGACCGCACAGACGCTTACGATCAATCCAAGCTCACGACAAAAACAATGACAACCGCCTGCTTA